CATGTGATGAAAGCTGTAGCCGATGAATACACTCTCAATGACCTCCTCTACGAGCAAGTCGAGGTGAACGTCAGAAACCAAGCTCATCATACCAGATTCGATCGATGCCGATGCTTCTTGTCGCAGCCCACGACCTGGGCCATTATTCTTCCGCTGGGACTTTGAAGCTCGGAGGTACGTGTTGACTTTGCTATAGTCAAGCAACTGTGTCGAGTTAGCACGTCAAGTGAGGCTTAGGAAGCGTCATTGTAAACCTACATGGTCAATTGTGTCGAGGAGAGTTTTACCCGAAATCTCAATGGTGTGGATTACGTCGACCTGGAAAGCATCCAACTGGGTATCGTGAAGAAGTTCTGCAGCGGCGACTACACCATGGAGCGGCGACCGAAGCTCGTGGCTGAGGGAGCCCAAAATGTCTGTCTTTGCCTTCTCTGCCAGAACTGCATCCAGCCTAATGACCTCAGACATGGTGACCATACCGAATGCTCGCAAGAAAGGCAGGTCCGCCGCAGGTGTCAATATCCGAGCCGCGCTCTTGCTCCACACAAAACCTCCGGCAAAGCATCGTTCTTTTGAAGGATCCCATAGCGGTACTACAGCTACACTCCTCGCACCCGGGAAGATGTCGATGATGGTCTTGGCCTCGTTCCGCCTCGTAAAGTACGAATGTGCTGCTTTTTGCTCAGGGCGCGTAACCGGGAGATCGTGTTCTTCCGTAGGGGTGATATCGGCATCATCGCTTTCGTAGTCGGCGGACAACCATTGGCCCATCTCATCGAAGCTGAAAACCTTGCCGTTGGGGTATCGACGGAGCAATTTCCTGAGGAACTTTTCGCGCAAAGTCAAACGGCTGAGCTGTGGTGCACTGACGCCATTGACAATGTCGTCCATCGTCGACGACCTTCCAAAGCTCTTACACCATTTATCGTTGACGTCTTCGGACTTCTCGGACAGACTATCCTCGCTGCTAGAAAATGTGTGGTCTGCTACTTCACTAGCCCTCCGTGGACCGGTCACAAGGCCTCCAAAAGAGCCGATGCTCGCATCCAGGAATAAGGCGCCGTCCACTTCGAGGGATTTCCTGATCACATTTGCGGCCCTGGAAAAGATCTTGATGGTCTCTGTCAAATGCGGGTCGGGCGGCGCCGTGCTTGAGGTAGTGGTGGCGACCGTCGCAGTCGTGGCCGTCGTCTCGACGGAGTCGCTCGATTCGACTTTGGCAGATGAATCACTTGAGTCTGCTCTGATAGGGTTGATGCCCGGGCGGACGGGCTCAGGGGATTCGGAAGATCTAGGTGACGGCGGATCCGCATCGGGCAGTGATACCGCCAGCCTAGGAAGCTCAAATCCGTTCAAAGATGCTCGAGGCGTAGTTCTTGTAGTCGGCACTGGGTCGTCTCTACCTTCGATGAAGTTTCCCAATCCTTGCACCATGCGCTCGCTTCGGCGGTAGCTTTCATTTACTCTTCTAGCGTCGAGATATTCCATTACTGTCTGAGAAATCTCGCGCATGAACTGTAACTCCTCGGTGTCGAGACCACTCCTGGGCTTGTCGGAAAAGATGCAGTACACGCCAATGTTGATACCTTTGGGAGACCGGATGGGAACGCCCGCATAAAAGCGGTTGTACGGCGCTGCGTCGATGTAAGGTCGATTACAGAATCGTCGGTCAGTAGCAAGATCCGGGACTACAGACACGGGAAGTTCGTCCTCGTCAGTGGTGTGCGCTGTCGGGTGTAGGCTGCTGGAAGCCGCGTGAGTCGCTCCTATCAAAACATGCTCGCAAATTCCAAAGTCGCGAGGGATAGCTGTCCCGCAGAGCCAAAGATGGTTTTGCCTCGTGTACTTAGTATTCGACGCCAGGGGCATTGACTGAGTAGCCTCGGCGACGATGTATTGATGCTGACGATCGAATAGCGAGATCAAGGCACGCGATGCGTTTAGTCGCAAGGCACCTAGCTGCGCAAAGGAAGTGAGGCCTGTATCCGGAGACGACGAGATGGATGAGAAGGGGATCGGTCGGTCGGGACTGTTGAACACAGCGTTGGGAATGTGGAAAGAATCATATCTAGAGAGTCGAGTCTGTCAGTTGTTGAATAGCGAAAAGCATCGTGCCCCGAGCCTTTAGCTAAAGCTCGAGAAGATGAAAGGTATGCGCACTTGAATGTCTCCCATTCACGGGCACCTTCTGATATCTTGTTCATACTTCATGCAAGTTGTTGGAGAGTGGGATGATGAAGCTGGCCCTGCCCATGATACAAGGAGTTTTGATGCAGTGTACGGCAACGACAAACGATGGGAAATGTTGTTTGCCGTTGTCAACAACGCAGCCGTAGTCCGTCGTCGTCAACAACTCAGGTCGAGGTAAGGCAAGGTTGGCAAGGTCAGATCAAGTTCAGATCCAAGTCCTCAAAGCAAGGAGAAGAAGCATGCTTGCTTTCAAAGGTGAGGCGGCGGGCATGACTGAAATGCCGCCCCTCCCCGCTGAGGTGGAGCAGGGATCCCGGAAGCCGGGATGAGCATTGTTCGAGAGGGTTGGGGGGACCGCGGCGCAGTAGCGAGAAGACTTGAGGGTGACGGTAGTGCAGGCAGGGCCCCAGGGCCAGGCCAAGGCGGCGCATATCCTTGCCCTGGATGGGAAACCGGTTCTTTGGGCGGTTTGGAGATTGGCCATTGCAACCCACGGGAACCGGGGTTCCAGGCTTCTGCGTCCTCCTCGAGGCGTTCTCCCAGAGGTCCTCCCACTGGCTCCCACAGGGCAACTGGAGACCTAGAGCCTGCCACGGTGCGTGTGTGTGTGAGTGTTGGTGGGCAGTTTTGGCGGTGGAATGTGGAATGGAGGGGCGTCCCTCGTTTGGCTCCGTTTTGCGTTGATGGGGGACCCTCGGAGATTCTGAGATGCGCTAGACTTTAGCGGCCGGCGAGGAAAGTGTGTACTTGTAGTTTGTCTCTCTGCAGCAGAGGGGCAATAATTTGGCGACATTTGAGCCGGATTCCGCAGCATCAGCTAAGGTGCTAAGGTAGTTAGAGGGCAAGTTCAGATGCATGCCCAACCGGTGTGCGTGTCGCAATCCATCTAGACTGCTGTTCGGTTGCATGTTTTAGGGGTCTGGACGGCCTTAGCGCGATGGCACGCCGCACGTGGAAGGGAAATCCAAGGGCGGTGGTGTATTTCCGCGTGTGTTCTGGACAGTATTTGTGTGTGTGTGTCCCATCCGTCCGTTACCCTAAGCTCTAAGACCATCCGTACAGGACTCTAATGGTGGTGGTGGTTAGGTTGAGAAAAGTGTTTTGCACGTTGACGCCTGAAGAGAGATCGGAGGCTAACGAGGCGAGATGGTGGGACGGCGCAGATGGTTTTGGGATGGTGGCGGCGGCCAGACCGACCCTTGATCCTTTGTCCTTTTCTGAAAGACTACCTCCGTATGGAAAATCTAGTCGGAAGAGACAGAGTTGAGCAGAGGGATCAGAGGGATCAGAGGGCGCCTGGAACGATGATGGGCAAAGTGTAATCGTCTGGTCTGCCAGGGCAAGATTGGAGTATGCGTAGACTACTGGCTGACTGGTTGGATTCGGGATTTCCAGTGTCGTGTGCCATGCAACACTGACGACGGGCCGATGAACTGATGTCTGAGTCTTGACTGTCATTGACCAACGGAGAATGGATGGACGTTGCCTTGGCTGTTGCTGCCAGGACGCGCCCCTCGGTCATTGCTCAATACTGCCCTCTTTCTTCTCTTGATCGACTCGACTTCCTGCCTCTTGTCATCCATATCGCTATCACTCTCGCAGTCTCGTGGACCTTGAACGTCGCCCACTTGCTTCCATGTGAGCAGCAAACCGAGGCGGGGGAAGGCCAACCACAGCGAGGAGAGTCGATGACGGGACTGGCTCCGGGATCCTTGAGAACTTGGGCTGATCCTGGTCCCCACAAGTACAGGCCACTTTCAGAGTCGAGACTCAAGCCAATTCCACCTCTTGCCCCTGTCCAAGGTCCATGGGGGGGAGCAAATGGAATGGGCAGCTCGATCATCGACAAAAATCGGAGAGGGCAGACCGATGAACCATAGCCGTGGAAGATTTCGAGAGGGCCACCAGGTGAGCGGTGAAGAGCCAACAATAGGCGTTTTGCTGCACAGCATGCGACGAGATCTGCATGGCAAAAATGATGGTGGACTCTCTGAACAATGGGCAGAAAGGAGAAGACACTGTGAAGATACAGCAAAATTGTGCGCCTGGATGCGGACGACAGACAAGTACGTACAGTGCGAAATGCGGATCCGCCCCGAAGCCCGTGGCTAGGTACGTACTCGGAGACCGGGGAAAGTAAGAGGCGGAAGAGTGGGGCATAAAGATGGTTTGCAAGGGACTCGAACCCAAACAAGGGAAAGAGCGGGGCTCCGAGTCAATCGCCCTGCTCCTTCTCAACTTGCTGCTTTCCCATTCCAAGTTTCCAACCGGCAGCTGCCCCGCTTAGCCCCGCTTATATGCTGTAATCCCGTACCGTGCACGTGAACGGCGCACACACAGTCAGGCAAGCACCTTGAAGGACACTCGGTACGTACTCCAGCACTCCAGTGTCTCCGGACCTCCTATGCATCTTCCAAGTTCCAATCGCAGCTCTGACACGCCCTTCATTTTATCACCGACAAATCATGGCCTCACATGTTCGACGACCATCTCCCATGGCCCATCAGTCCTTGATGTCAGAGTCGAGACCAACGGCCCAACACGTAATCGATCTTGGCTTCGTCTCCTATCCCACAGCAGCAACATCCTCCCATCAATACGAGACCATATGATCTGAGTCAACCTGAACCAGTTGCTCCAGACTACCTCCGCACTCATCCGTTCCCTTTCCGTCGCCCCAAATCATGCACATTCCGCATTTCAGCAGACAATGAGACGATGAAATCCCATCGTACATCGGCCGAAACCATCGTCATCCTGTGTCCTAGCCACTAAACCATCGCCCGCTTCAGGCTGTCCCACAAAGAGCAATGTCAGCATCGCCAGCGAGCCAAGTGTGCAAGGCACCAGGGGGAAGTGGGCATTGTCCAGTCCTTGGAGATTTCGAAAAGCCCTCGTTATTGAGAAAGAATCGATCGAAACCGTACGCCCTGCATCTGCAGCTCTGTTGAACGGTTGGGCAGCTTTCCATCGACCAGCAACTGGAAACCCCGTCCTGGACCCTGATTCAGCCCCTGGCCCGTCGGTCATCCCTGCGGCGAGCATCCCGTTGCCGTTGCCGGGGCTTTCAACGCCCAAAACCTCTCAGTCCTACCCTCTGGCCCCTGGCAGTCACGCACGACGCAAGACCCCGAAGGACCCCGATCGGTCACCCGGGTCGGCCATGCCACTAAGACACCACCCCACACGACGGATCACCCCCTACGACAGATCACCTAATTTGGACGATTTTTTCCCTCCTTTAATACCACTACTACTATAATATATAAGTAATAAATGATCGAAAAAAATCGCAAAAATTATACTAAAATTACTAATAGATTTACTATACCTAAATATATAGAAGAATACGTTAAAAACGTATAATACGACGTTAGCTTTAATAAGTCGATCTAGAAGGCTATTATAAACTAAGGAATCCCTTATACTACCCTCTCGAACTAGTTACGAGGTATTATAATAATTAAGAAATTAAAAGAGGATTATTAGAGGCTTAATAAATACTAAGAGTAATCCCTTACTTACTAAGTAATTCTATAGGGCTAGTTAAAGTTCGCTCCGACTTATATTTAAGTTAAAGAGTTTATAACGTATATTTCTTAGTAAAATAGCGACTAATACCTATTTAGAAAAAAGTAACTAAATAAGTTCTTATATAAGAATCCTATGCTTTTAATACTACGGGCCCGTTATATAGATTCTAAGCGTATTAAGTTTATTATTATTAACGTTATATAAGTTTTTTAAAAAATCTTAATACTTCTAAATATTTATAAAATCTTAATATCCCTCTATTAGAATATAAATAAAATAGGATTAATAAAAGGGAATAATAAAGACTATTTAGTACTAAGTAAGTTTAGAAAGAAATCTATTTATATCTAGATACTAAGAGACCGTACTTAGACCTTTATACTCGAGTATATCTCTACGAATAGCTAATACCTCCCGCTATTAATAATCTTTAAGGGGTAGACCGTATAGTAATAGTAGTTCTTTATAGAAATATTAAATTATACTTTATAAAGCTTTACGTCTTTTATAAATAAGTAGACTTTGAATATAATTAGGTTAGAATAGTTAGTTAAGATATTTATTTCGTAAATAGAGGTAGAGGCTAAGAGACTTTTATTTAAGCGTCTACTTATTATCGATAGGCATAGTAGTTACGTTTTTAACGATTTTATATAATAATATTATTTTAAGGGTATTTACTTATATTATTTATTACTATATTCTAATTATATTACGTAGCCCCTAGATATTTTAATATTCTTACTATTTAAAATATACTATTATAATAAACTTATAAATTATGGCCTTTAGCTTAACTTAGTGCTAATTAAAAAATAGAACTTCTTCTATTATTATTTCTAAGCCCGAGTATAAGCGCTTATAAAATAAAATATATATACTAATTAAAAAGTAATAGGGCTATATTTTATTAATATATAGTAGCCCCTATTTAATAAATTTATTATTATAATATAGCCTATAGACGTTCTACGAGTACTGCTATAAGAGCCCTTATTTTTAAAAATACTTAAGATACCCTAAGATTATAGTATTATTATCCTTAAAAAGTTAAGAGACTTTAGGAAGTACTAGAAGCTCTAAGTACGAGGTAAGGGCGAGGTTAACTTCGATTTTATTATTTATAAGTTAATATTTAATAAAATAAATAAGTAATTAAACGCCTAGAACGTAGCCCTAGCTAATACCTAATTAGTTATTAAGTTACTAGAGGCTTAAGTATAATTATATAAGCTAATTATAAGGGTTCAAGTACGTTAGGATCTAAATAAGCGATTCGTACGAATTAAGGCTATTATAAGGGTAAAGAGGGAGGCTAAGGCTCGCCCATAGTACTTAATTACGGTCCTAATACTTATAAACGGTATAAAAAAAGCTTAATTTACTAATATATATTTAGAATTTTAGATTTAGTAGCGTTATGTTACTAATAATCGAATTCGTAGTTATAAGGTCGAAAAGTCGAAGTCTAGAAAATCGTCTAAATTAGGTAATCCGTCGTGGGGGGTAATCCGTCGTATGGGGTGGTGTCTTACATCGAGCCTCGAATGTGACATCGACCATATTAGATCGCTGACGCTATGGTGTTTTGGCCGGGGGTCAAACAACGACAGAGATCTGCACGCCAAAACAATCAAAAAACCGTTGCAAAAAAAGAACCTTCTGGCACAATCTGTCAAATGCCCGCAGGATCGCTGCCTTGACGCCGTTTACACGCCATCCGGACCGACATAACGTACGCTAAAACTAGCTAAATATGTTTTGGCACATGGTACGGACGACGGTGCCAAGTTTCACATCCACATTTGCTAGCACGCCCTGGGCCCTGCGACCACGGAGTGCAGAGTCTCAGCTTTGTTCGGATACAGATGGTGGACAGCAAGTGTGGGCAATATTCACGTCACGACGTACGACTCAGTCGTCCCCGTTCCGCATGACATCGAATTTCCATCTCCAAGGACCATAGCATCCAAAGCAGGTCAAGAGTCCGAAGCTGGTGAGGCTTAAAGAAAATGTCAGCATAAGCCTCCCCGACAATAAGGCTATTCTAGGCATGATCAACCAGCTTCATCCCGCTGATGACTCCCTCAAATCCACTGCCTCCGACTGCTGCCAACGGCGCCTCTACCGCAATGGGCTGCCAGACAAACCGGGCTCCGTTCCAGCCCATTATTGTCAAAAACTCCTTGGGCTCGCCGTCCCCAACGTCCAAGAACGTCTGCCTCCCCCTGCCAATGAGGCTCGCGTTTGTCCACGACCCCACGGGGAACGTGTAATTGAGCGCGTAAGTGCTCTCCCCTGAAAAGAGCATGACGGCGTCCACAGTCCCATTGCCAAACCATAATCCGCTGTCTCCACCGCTGAGGATGGCTCCCTTGGCGGCGGACGTGGGCTTGATCGAGAAAGAAAGAGTGTAATTCCTCCCCTTTTGCGTCAGCGGAGTCGTGATGCTACACGCAGACGCCAGAATGGCACCTTCATCGCCCATCGCGCACGTCGAGGTTGCATGGTAGTTGTTGCCCGACAAATCTTCAACAGCTGTGCCGTTGCTACCTCGTCCCTGCTTGAAGTCGTATTCAACGATCGTCGATCCTGTGGATGCGATTCTTCGATCAAGGTTCTGCCCCGGCGCGAGAGGCTGCAACGCAGAGAAAAGGCCTTGGTAATCAGCCTCAGCAACTTCGCCTCCCCACTGCTTATCCGCGAGAGCAGGCAGGCCATCCCTCCATTGGTAGTATCCCTCCGTCACCGTCGTTGCATTCGGGCCAAAATCGTTCCATTGCGGCGCAATATGGCCCAGGAGCGATGCACTGTCCCTTGCGGCATTGTTAGATGCATTCGTGCGATCAAATATATTTGGCGAAAATGGTGATCCATCGGGCGAGCCATTAAAGATGAATTCTAAGCTGAGTTCATGCTGTTCGCCAGGTCAGTCCGGTCACCACATCAACACAAACCCGCTCCGTTCGATTACTTACACCATACCACTCGCTCCACTTTCCAACCGTGTAGATGTAGTCGCCCGAGTTGAGTACCTCGTACCCGTTGTTGACAAAGTCGTAGAGCGGGTTCGCCTCAAAGTTGGCCCAGTGCTGAATCGAAACGGACTTGTTGACGGTTCCGCCGACTGACGGCGCAAAAGTTCCCCAGATTCTGACCTTCTTACCGGATGTGCTTGTGATGTAGTCGTTCATCTCGTCCACAAATCGCGTGTACTCGGCAACCAGGGCGCTGAATGATGAGCACATGCTTGGAAACTGCCACTTTCCGGGGGCGACGTGACTTACTCTTCACTCAGCGTCGGATCGACATACTCATCGGCACCGATCGAGACCGTCTTGGTATGGAACCATGGCAGGAAAATCTCCCAGATCTTCTTCACCATCGGTATCGTCTCCGGGTTTGAGATATTCAGCAAGCTCAAGTCGCTCAACAATCCCAGCTCGGGCTTCCACTGCGAAATCACGAGCGCGTGCCCGGGAGCCTCGATCTCCGGCAGAATCGTCACACCGCGCGCTGCGCACTTCGCTTGAATGTCGTCGAAGACGTCCCGCGTGTAGCTCTCATTTGCGCGCCTATTGAGGCCCTCGAGGGCTGGATCGTCGGAATTCAACCGGAAGGCAGCATAAAGTGAAAGCATACGCTCGCGTGAGTAGATGGCGACATTGTTGTACAGATTGTCTGAGAGGTGCAGCTGGAAAGTGTTTTGTTTGAAGAAGGACATGTAAGCGCACATTTCGATGAGGAATTCGGCTGGGTAATAGTGTCTGGCGATATCGAGCTAACATAGTGCATAGGCAGTCAGCTTGCGGTTCTCTTCGCTTCGGCATCCGGCCGAGGGTCGGTCACGTTTCCCGCAATACGCGCTCCGGCTCGGGCGGAAGGATTCTCTCACCATCATTCCCCGGGTTCCCCATCCGGGGCTATCTGTCCCGTACCCCAGCTTCAGCTCCCCGTTTCCGAGGACGAGCTGCTGTAGGACCGTCCGAGTACCCCACCACACGCCCAGCGGGCTTGCACCTGTGATGAGCACACCGTCGATCGTGACATTGAGAGAGTATCCCTCGGACGTCTCGCGCCCAGCAGCATCTTTGTAGAGGCTTGCATCGTCGGCTAGCGTCAGGAAAATGGCTCCTTGCTCCGGGGCATCGCCTAGCTCGATTGGAATATCGAGTTTTAGCGACGAGGCGAGGTCTTCCCCGAAGGTTGCAGCAAAGGCATGCAGAGTTGGCGGGATGAGTGTTTGGCCTTTGTCGTCGACGGAGTCTGCGTAGGCTGACGAGACTATGATCTTGGAGAGAGAAGAGGCGGAGATGGTGCCGCCTGTTGTAGTGTAGGGTGCTGTTGGAAGGCCTGGGAGAAAGTCTGCTCCCGCTGTGGCCGCGAGAGAGACGAGGACGGTGGCGAGGAACCGCATCGTGAGGGTCGATCAATGGCTTTCGGTCACGATGTTTGGGTTGGGTTGCTATTCCCCTTCCCCAATTGCAGGATAAGACGTTCTATAAGTACGGCAGGACAGAATCTTGGCTTCAATGGACATTTCAATCTTATCATCAGAGCATCGTGGGTATGACGCGACGGGACGTGACCTCGGCGCGCGGGGGCTCGGAGCCGGATGGGATGTTTGGTGAGGGGAACCCAGCTTGCGCGACACCCCCGGCGCGAACCATGGTGACATAACTTTGTGATGAGAGCTGTGCGATTGTAGAAGGTAGTAGCCGGATCTGCGTCGTTGGGATCTTACCCCTCAGGTGATGGAAACATTGCAAACAATTTGGGGATATGAAAGCCATAGTGATAGAAACCAACATCGCAACGTGGGTGGAACTCGGTTCCTGGGGCCACACGCTCGGAAGTTACGAGGCTAGCCAGATACTGCTTGCAGTTCCGTCAATCCAACAATTGGAACGACTCTGGTAGTGTGCTCAAGCTCACAACAACTGTGATCTGTTGGTGTGATGGCAACGTTGCAATCAATTATCTCTCCCTTTTTTGCAGTTCATCCCCCCTGATTAAATGTTCCAATCTCTCTCCCCGCGCTTAATGAGTGGGGACCGGGAGAGGCAGACTGCTACTGCGGAGTCGTTGTTCCGGTGCTCCGTTGGACGGCGGCGGGGAAGTCGGACAGGGGCCGGGCCGGGGTTGATGACTGTGGACGACGTTGCGTGGTCTATGAATTGTGTATTTCAGTTTGCTGGACCGTTGCACGCGTGCAATTGATAAAAGGGTCGTACATGATGATTAGAGATGAGGTTATCCGACTCAGCAGAGACAGCTAGCTCACATTTCGATTGTGCTATTCACATCTTGTTCCAAACTCAAGAATGTGCTGTGTTCATGTTTTTGAAAGAGATTAGGCATGTAACACGTCTCGTCAGTGACGTGTACGTGTCGTGCAGTCACATATAGGGCATCAAAATACATAATGAAAGTTGATTGTCTATCAAGAATGGGAATAAAGTCGAAGCCAGCTTCCCGTGAACCGGTTGGTATTCGTGATGAGTATTATGGGACACCCATATATATAAGGTCACGTGTCGAGCGGTGAGGCCTGGGATCGTTGACTATATAATAACAAAAAGAGTTCACCCCCCCGGTGCCGAATTGGGGGCTACATCTCTTGGTGCTCACACTGGGAATCGAACTCGAACTCGTAGCCTGTCGTCGAGTAGGCTTTGGGCGTAATTTGATTATTGACCGTAGACCACTCCACCACCCAGCCAGTTTGACCTGACCCGTCGACCTAGACGGGCGCCTCCTGGCTGGTGACGGGATTGGACTTGGGGGTCCCTAGATAGCCTTACACCCGGCCATCGTCCCTTCCCTACTGGTCGTCGAATGGTCTTGCAAAGTCGTACGGGTGCATATTCACACATTGCCCGACGTTTGGATCCGCCCTGGAAAGTCTCCATGGTCAGAAATCTATTGAATCTTTCTAGCAAAGATGCGAGCCCGTTTGGGAAAACTCACGAGTATTCCCAATTCCAATACTTCCTCCGGCCGCCGCGCTCGCAGCCGGCCTCTGCCTTCATGCCGCTATAGCATTCTTCTATATCGATGTCGCGTTGGTCACCATTCCCGATATACTAGCGCTACGTCAGCGATAAAATAGAGTCAGGAAGAATTCCCTCCATCATTCATACGAGATGAAGATGCAGAAGGAACGAAACACGACTTGATCTCTGTCTTACCGAAAGCTCAAAATCCCACTTTCTACCCTTCGTATCCATGATGCAGATTCGGCGGAATTCATTCTTTACATAGCTGCCCGATAGCTGAGCGCACACGATTCTCAAGTCGACTGGGGTGTTGTTGTTAACGTCGTATTCGCCTGTCATGCCGTTCTTGTTACATTCGGCAAGTACTGTTGGATCAAAAGCGAAGATGGTCGCGATAAGCAGAGACTGGATGGTTTTCATGACGGGCAACGAGGGAACGACTGGATGAGTGAATAATTAGGAATTTGGGAAAGGGGAAGAGAATCAATTACTAAGAGAGAGCAAGATGTTCGCCCTTTAGTATTTGCGTGCAATGCAGGCCATGCAACTTCTTTATATCAGTGATGAATTGAACTTGACTCCCCCAAGGTGAGGTACAAAGGGTTAGAGGCAGTTGCCGCTTAAAGACGTCAGCATTTCGTGGTGCCACAGATGCTTTAGTGTCAAGTTACAAGGGAACTTGGGTGAGCCCCAAACTCAGAATGGTTCAACAGCAATCAACGCTGGGCGGATGAGTCTCTTTACCCATAGGTAGCAAGGGAATAGGTTGTGTGACATACTTACACAGTACAGCACCTGACAACGGCTTAGTCCTCATATGGCTTCCTTCAGCATTGCCTCGATTGGGCGAGTCGACGATGTCGGGGCCACCCCAGGGGCACTTCTCCGCCTCCTGAGTCGGGACTTTTTGTACATTTCCTAGGACCTCGGCGACGAGATCCTCGGATGACGCCGAGTACCCAGGCACGCCTATGTGCTACAAAGGCTTCCCTGCGATTTTGCTCCGCATGACACGGCTTTGGCACCGAGCGCCGTACATGGGAGATGAGGGCACATGTGTTCTTTCAGGTGTTTCTCCCTTGACTCTCCCACTCGCACGATCGGGCCCTTGCCTCCTACCTACGTATGCTCTTTCAAGTTTGGAGGCTGAAGTGGAAACTCCAGATGCGGAGTGTGCACTCCAGTTGCATTAGCTTGTTCCTCGACGATATAAGTCTGCATAAGGACCCTGCGTAGGCATCTTTGATTAGTCTGAGAAACAGAGTCAGCCCATCTCGAAACTCATATGAAAGCTTGCGTACTTGTGTGATGCATCTCTAGCTCTCCTAGCACCACCACCGCCAGACATCTCAAGATGAATTCCATATTCTCTCAACTAGCAGGACTCCTTTTACTCGTCGTAGCGATTGGCCTTGTAGAGGCAGCACCTGCCATAGCCGGATCACGAACCCTTACGTCCTACCCGGGCTCCAAATTGAGTTTCTACAGATTCGCGATGCCAATCAACCGGACTCTAGTTACTGGGAAGTTTGGAAACCCTGTTCTCGTTACTGACGCTCGAAAGTCGTTTTCTCCTGAGACACAAGAACTGCGCAAGGAACGAGTCGAAACTTTTGTTGCTAAAAACTCCACCGTAAGGCCGCATGTCGGCAACAAAGTGGATGGGAACAAGCCAAGGATTGCCTTCAGGTGAGTCACCTTTCTGAATATACGAGATAACACAGAAGAGGTACTGATGGATGACAGGACACGCCAAACCTTTTCAAGTAGCATCCGCGCCAGATCAAAGCCTGGAGCATTCCCCTGGGCGGGTCTCAACCCCCAAGGAACATACCCTTGGACCAAATCAATTCTATGCATGGCGATCTGCGAAAGGAACACATATCACATGAGAGATATCCTAAAGGGAAATGGAAGGTGGCAAGCGTGAGTGAAATCTTTTGAGTTTCGGACCTTTTTACTCAGTCATTCCCATAGTAGGCCATCTTGATTTAGTTGGCTGACTTGACTCGCGATGAAGATGTTTACTGAAGTGCAAGTCTGATGGATCCATGACTGATGTTGTTGGCGAGATCTATGGGGCAAGTTTCAAGGAGGATTTCGCTCCCTTGGCTTACTACAAAGGGTATCTGGATTACGTCTCTGGCAAAACTGGCGTGGTGGAACAGAAGATGGAGTGGAGGGCCGCGTATTAAGCAACGAGTTACGTCCATCATCTCATGACCCAAAGGACCTGTGAAGTAAGTTCACTCAGACGACATAAAAGGGAACATGCTTCACACTAGATTTGTATTGAATATCTTGTACGAGCACAGTAGGTGCTGGCGTAGTAGGTTGTGAGATTATGTCTATCAAACCCGGGAGGGAAAAGCCATTGGGGGCAGCCGAATTCCAAGGTTTTGCCACATTCATATGCCATTGAAAGCACTCCCGTGGCCATCGCATCGATGTCTGAATCAAATCAGAGGAGCTGAGACGTAAACCCACATGGCGCCTTGTTCGTAAGCCGGCATGCCTCCCTGAACGGTGTTGTCGGATCTCCAGCAGCGATCCATGATGCGTCCAGCAGTGCGGGCAACGTTGTTACTGGATGGCGAACAGAGTTAGTCCCATCTATACGAATCTTTTGAACTAAGAGACTGAATTCAACATACCAGTTGGTGCTCACTTCTCCAGCTCCACTGCCACTTCCAACAATTTGCGCATTACCAGCGGTACACATCGCCGTCGCTGTTCTAGTCCCGCAATTTGCGTTGAGACCGGCAAGGTAGTTAATACACGTCACAGCATCAGGTGCCTATGGAGTGTTAGTCTTGACTTCATATTCAATGAAGGTCACCGAGCTTCGCATACCCAAGCGGAAGGCTTGCCATCGTTGCATACGAGAAACTGCTCCTGTCTCTTATCAAGTGAGCCATCTACAAACATAATGTTAGCATGCATACACCCAACATTGACATTCAGGTAGAGACAATTAATGGGGATAAAAGATCTACCTTTGTGAGCCGCTGCGGATTTGGCCGCAGCTTCAAGGGCTTCGTCGACGGATAAAGCGCTTTCAGGGTCGGCAATGATTGTCTCAACCCAATGTTCCCAGGACCAGTCACCCACAGCAACTGCATCCCGAGAGTCTACAAGAGGAGCAGGAGAAGCAGCTGCGAGAGCCACCAGGAAGAGCAAAGTGACTGAAGAAAGGGCGATTTGGACCATTGTGAAAGGATTGTCTGGAAGCTGTGTTTAGAGATCTGTGTGAAAAGGGTAGTTTATGATCAACTTCAGGCAGTAGGTGCCTAGGGTTTATATAGTCGTTAGCTCCAGTATGGAATCAAAACATGTGGCAACACGAAAAACCTGCCATACTGAATACTCGTGTCTCTCGCCATGGTCTTCTCGATTGCTACATGGAGTTGGCATTGGCATTGGCACGATAACTCAATGTATCATCGCTGGATAGGCCGTGCCTCCTCTGGTACTGGAGCTCAGTATGGGAAGCTTACGTCTCTGCATGATTCACTGTGCCATGACCTTGCGTAAACGAGGTCGTCAGACTGACCTGACTTTTTGATCGGCCGTCTTTACTATGCGTCAAATTTTCACTACTTAGGTGGCCGATCGGCCACAAAAAGCGATCCATGAAGTAGTTTAGAAGTTGACGCCAAGAACCATTGAACCAAAGTCCCTTCGCTTACCTCTTAGTCTGAGCTAGCAGGCGGCCGACCGACGTTTTGATAGTATCCTGCGAGCTTCAAGAATGGTAGCATCCGCTGTGACGCTGACCGAATACGAGAATTGAGCTTCAAACAATTTGCCCGTGATTCTTTCCGTTCCGAACTCTGGCACCCGCCATAACAACGCAATTCAGTAGCCTGATCGAGCCTTGGTTCCTTCAATGGAACCAATTACGTTGGATCAGGTCTTTCTAGTCTTGCACTCGTCATATTATCTGAGTTTCAATTCGTCTGATCGGTTTAGGTGGAGGAAACAGGGCCCCCTTGCCCCTAAGCAAGGAAGAACAGAAAGTGAAAGCCACCCGGCCAAGACTCTTCAACCTTGCTTCTCGCCATCAATTGGAACCCACTTGTGATATCAAATAAGCATATCAAGAACTCTAGTCAGCATGTGCGGGAGCTTAGTGGCGTTGCATAGATGTAATTGGCGCATGAAGAGTGGCAGTACTTGGCAATATCGCCTGTTGCTGCGACGAATGACTTAGTCCCTTGGGTCCTAGAGCGTTACTGGCGTATGTGATGTTTCTGGGTGTTCCATCAACTTTTAATCTGAACTGGTTTCGACCTCTTGTATGCTTAGCAGTCACTCTCCATATGAACGAGGAGGGTGGAGGAATGAAAGTCCACAAATCGAGCGAAGACCACGGCGGAAGCTGACATGACACCTGGGGTTTCTAACAATTGGGCACTCCAAAACACGCAGTCAAGCAGACAACATCCATAAAGACACTTCGAGGTATTGCCGTAGTTCCATTGATCAATCGTCGAGCCGTGTCTGCTCCTATTGAACTGTCAACTTGATGAACTCATGCCAGTCAAGTCGCCGAATTGCACTTTCTCAACTACCTATTCAAAGCCCGCAACAATCTTGTGGCGCCTCACAACTCTGTAGTTGCCAAATTGAGGGCAAAGTACCGTTTGACAGTCGACTTTCGTCAGTGCACTGGTCCTAGTATCACCGAGATCAGTAGTCCTGCATTGAAGTTGCGCGTATCCGGCGTATTTGGCGTGTCTTCCCTGTGACCGGGCCGGTCGCCCCACTTCGCGCCGAAGTTGTCGTGCTGTGAAGGATCTCCATCCGTGACTCCCTGAGTCATCGTTCAGAGCACATATGTATATTTGAATCTTGATCTGAACATCGGAAACGTTGCAAACATTGACCAAAACTTGGCAAATTAGGCCTTCATTACCAAGACCTACCAGAACCATGGACCCTCCCGTTGGACCTCTCGTAGCCTCCGCCGACCCGGCAACGGCTCCGTCCCATACCCCGCTTCACGGCCGATACACCTCCGTGGTCCCGTTGCAACCATCGCATGCGCAGGCTATCTTCAAGCACCTCGGCCGAGAAGAAAACGCTTGGCGCTGGACATACCTCTTCAATGAGCCTTTCCTCGAGATCGAAGAATGTGAGGCAGCTTTCGAGGAGTGGAGCGTCTCCCAAGACCCGTTGTACTTCACTGTATTATCCGGCCCAGCATCGGATCCATCATCCGAGCCAGTGGGTGTAATGGCATATCTCTCCATCGTTCCGGCTCATAGACGTATCGAGATTGGATGCATAATTTTCAGTGAGCATCTGAAGCAAACGCGTGCCGCCACTGAGGCCCAGTACCTTCTCATGAAGAATGCTTTCGAGGGCCTGGGCAACTACAGACTCGAATGGAAGGCCAATCATTTGAACAAGCCGAGTCTCGCAGCTGCTGCGCGGTTAGGATATACTTATGAAGGCATTTTCAGGTAAGAGTTCTATGAAAACTATTCTCGGTCAAGGACTGACAACCGGCAGAAAGCACATGGTCGCCAAGGGAAGACGTAGAGATACAGCTTGGTTCAGCATCACAGATGATGAGTGGCCAGTGGTCAAAACCGGCCTGGAAACGTGGTTGAGCGAAGAAAACTTTGACGAGAATGGTAAACAGCGCAAAGGTCTGAAGCAGTGCCGAGAAGCAGTGAAGATATAAAGAGGAGCTTTGCAGCTTGGTTTTCGGAAGTTCTAGTTAGGAGGTAAGAGAGGAGCCGTCAAGCGCAAGGTAGCATAGAAAGGGTGACCAGGTTATTAGACGCAGACAAATGATAACGTTAGTAATGCTTCCGGCGCAACCCATGCTGATTGAAAACTGCATCGGATATGCAAGTGCTATTTCGAACCAAGTAAATAGCTCGCTTCCACTGAGAGCGAAGGTGATGACGGAAATGCGTCATGGCTCCAACTCCGCCGGTCTTGGCCTTGGTGATCCTGCATCTCCCCCGCAGTTGACTTGGAGCTCAACATGACAAGATCGGTGCTTCGGGATTTTAGGCTAAAGCCACAATTCTCCGTGTAGGGGTTTCCACGGCGCCGGTCTCTCGGAAAAGCGCCGCACCGTTGCCCGCGATCTTGTGAACGACTTTCCACCGCTGCTAGGATTTCTTCCGTGGTGTGGAAATCGACTCCAGAACGATGCAGGTTTTCCATGAGCGCTGCGGGGTTACCTGAGTTACGGGCCCCTGAAAGTCATAATAACATGATGACCAGCTCATAATTACTTGCCAAAGAGCCTGGTAGTTTGCTAGCTTTTTCATCATGAAGTCCGGACTCCTAGCTTTAGCAATAGCCCTCTTCGGAGTTGTCCGAGCTGAGAACTCAACCTTTCAAAACCCCATCATTAGCGGCTTCAACCCTGACCCCAGCTGCATCTTTGTTCCAGATTTGAACAATACCTTCTTCTGTGTCACGTCCAGTTTCCTGGTTTTCCCTGGCCTACCCATCCACGCAAGTCGAGACCTGGTGCACTGGAAGCATGTTTCCAACGCATTCAGTCGAGCAGACCAGCTGCCAGGTCTAGCTTTTCTGCCAAAGGCAACCAGTGGCATCTACGCACCCACATTGCGATTCCATGAGGGCATCTTCTACCTTTTATGTACTCTTGTAAATCAGCAACTCCCGAGAACAAATGACAGTCGTTGGGACAACTTTATCCTTACATCAACAGACCCATACAGCTCAGATTCTTGGTCGGATCCCGTTCATTTCAGCTTCCCCGGGTTCGACCCTTCACCATTTTGGGACGATGACGGCAAGACGTACGTCTCGGGTGCTCACACAGCCGCGTACTACCCAGGTATAATGCACGCGCCGCTCGATCTGGAGACTGGAGAGATCGGAGACATCATCATGCCCTGGAATGGTACCGGCGGGCGGTCTCCCGAGGCACCTCACATCTGGAAGCGTGATGGGTGGTACTATCTACTCCTTGCTGAGGGTGGCACCCGTGAAAATCACATGGTCACAATGGCTCGATCAAAGAGCCTAGAGGGACCTTACGATCCAGCACCGGCAAACCCACTGTTGACTTCTGCAAACGATACTACCTCCTACTTCCAAGCTGTCGGGCACGCAGATTTGTTCCAAGATGCTGATGGAAATTGGTGGTCCGTCGCCCTAGCAGTTCGCGCTGGCGGCACCTATGGCCAGGACCCCGGAGCATACTTTGGCAACCTGCCGATGGGCAGAGAGACGGTACTTACGCCCGTCACCTGGGAGAGGGATGAGTTCCCAGTGTTTACGCCGGTCACTGGCAATGTCTCTGGCTGGTCGCTACCCGCAAAAGCTATCCCAGATGAGGGAGAAGGTCAACTCAGCGACGCAGACGATGTTATCACCTTTCCGCCGGGAAGCAGTCTGCCTATTCATTTTATCCATTGGCGCCTGCCAAAGGCTAGAAACTACGCGGTCTCGCCACCAGGTCACTGGAATACACTGGCGCTGAAGTCTTCGGTACTCAATCTCACGGCTTTCGACGCTGACTTTGCCTTGGGTCGTGGTCAGACTTTTGTCGGACGGCGTATGGCTCATTCGCTCTTCAAATTCCGTGTTGATGTCGACTGGGCAACGTCATTGACGAAGGAAGAGATGGAGGTCGGCGTCTCAATTGTCCAAGATCAAGCACAACACTTTGATCTTGGTATTGTCATGTTGAAGCCAGAGGGAAGTGAGGATCTTCGACCGCATCTTCGGTATCGTGGTATCTCGGAAACACCGTATAGGGCAGTCGAACATCCGCCTAATGGGATTTACCCACTTCCTGGTGGTTGGGCTGGGCAGAAGATTTCGCTCCAGATTGAGGCTGTTAACAGCACTCATTTCGCATTTTCTTCCGGCCTTGCGGGTCTCAGGGAAGACTTCGATCTGAGAGTCTTCGGATATTGCAAGGGGACCGAGTTGGTTCCTTACTACTCTGGTAGGCTCACCCACCATGAGGACAATTGGAACCCATATTGACAATTATGATTCTAGGTTCCGTGGTTGGCGTGTACGCAACATCTAATGGGAAGCATGGAGAGCAGGCGTTTGAGACATACATCTCCAACTGGCGGTACAGGGGAATCCGACAGCTCAAAAGCCAGAAGGATGTCGACGATGCTGACAACTCTAATGCTTAGGGTGGTATGGCCGAGGCCTTTCCACCATTTGCAATACCACTGTCATCCTACTTTATGAGACGATGTTCAAAATTCTCCTTGACCATGGGTCTTGCCAAGAGCTGCCCCGCAAGCTGTCTGTGTGGGAGCCGGAGCCCCCCTAAGACCCATTTCTCCGAAGCAACCCATCATCAAGTCGCAACATGTGAATTGGAGCAATTCCATCATCGGTTGTAGGCTCCAATCGTCTGCTAGCTTGAGGTAACATCGTGTCAGCTGCCAGGCTTCGGAGTCAAGATTCCACCGACGGCCCTGAGCCCAGCTTGCTGCGCTCGTAAATTGCCTGGCAGTTGGATAATCCTGCTTAAGACAAGGACTCTGAAGAACACATTCAAATGCCGCCACACCTCGGTAGGTCCACGGATGGCGTCTATAAGACCTATCGGACTATGATCGCCCAAGCATTGAAGACTTCTGGAACTATCGGTCAAAGCGGGGGACCCTGAACCCTGAAATCACCAATACCACCTTGCGACCAATATCGTCGGTGCCAGTGTCGAGCTCGGGACGGTCGGACGCCAAGTTTGAAACGTGAAACTCTAAACCATAGTATATAAGAAGCTACGCTCTTGCGCGCCGCGAGGCTTTTCGTCGCTTGTGCAATCACGATCAACAATAGACAGACTCAAACATCAAACGACGTAGGCATTAAAGTAATCAGAGTAAAAGATGGCGACAGCGTTTTTGATGGGCGGCTACAACTTCAAGCCGGACTCTGATATCCCAGACTTGACAGGAAAGGTCGTTCTCGTCACCGGTGGAAATGCCGGCCTCGGACTGGAGACGATCCGACAGATTGCAAAGCACAACCCTAGGCATATCTATCTCGCAGGACGCTCAAAGGAAAAGGGCGAGGCCGCAATCGAAGCACTGAGGAAAGAAGGCTCCAGCGTCGCGCCAATTTCTCACCTGCCGCTTGAATTGTCCTCATTTGAAAGCATCAAAGCTGCCGCTAAACAGTTCAATGAGTCTTCTTCTCGGCTGGACCTTCTCGTCAATAATGCTGGAATCATGGCGACGCCGGAGGGCCTCACAAAGGAGGGTTACGAGATCCAATTCGGAACAAACCACATGGGTCATGCGCTCTTTACTCAACTCCTGATGCCTACCTTGAAGAAGACGGCGACCGAGAACCCCGACGTGAGGGTCGTGTTCCTCTCCTCGGGCGCGGAAGGCTGGGCGCCCAAAGATATTTACCAGTTCGACAAGCTCAAGACCCAGATGCCCGAAACCCCCAGCCGCTTTCGTTACGGCATTTCAAAGGTGGCGAACATTCACTACGCCGCTGCCCTCGCCGAGCGGCATCCGGAGCTCAAAATTGTCAGCGTGCACCCGGGTATCGTCGACACAAATCTGGCACAATCCATCATCAGCAAATCCAACTTCGTCTTAGGCACGATTGTGTATCTCGGCACTAAGATCGTAGCCGTCAGTCCACAGAAGGGCGCGCTGAACCAGCTCTGGGCATCCTTCAGTCCAGACGTCAAGAGCGGCACCTTTTACTTCCCAGTTGGTGTCACCGGTAAAGGTACGAGATTGAGCAAGGACAAAGACAAAAGGGAGGAGTTATGGAAATGGACCGAAGACGAACTCCGGAGTCATTTGTAGGGGGATATCCGCAACTGGCCGAGCAGAAAAGAGACAGCTCACAAAAGACCAAATCCACCACCATTCACCAAACAAGACTTCGTATTTTCTTTTTCCTTCTAGCGTAATGCGGAGACAGAAATAAAGTGTTCCAAGGACCGGCAGTTTCATGTATGTTGAATCTCCATGGCCAGAATCCGGTGGCTAAAGTGTCTAAGTTTGAATGATGCTGCATGAACCACTACCAAGTCGGTTTTTGCTGCCGTTCGAAATTGCACCGTGAGTTGGCAAAAACTACTCGAGTCGGTTAGATCCAATCCATTAGCCCACTATGAATCAGCAGAATCCGACGCTAAAAGCAGGTGAGTCGCAAAGTTCGGAACCCGATTGAAAAGGGCCCAAGGGGCCCCCTGGTCCAAGTAGATGACGGAAATGTCCACCGTCGGATCAAGCCCGAAGTTCACCCAAGTTCATTCGTCTAAACCTGTCACTGATAACTTGCCCGTCTTCAAGTGAGCTTAATTCGGAGCCGAGAATAGGAGGCCTGCTCGCCCCTTACAGCTTCCCGCCGGCTGACAGGGAAAGTATACGCGCAAGTCCGTATCCGCCGAAAGGAGAGGCTCTGTCCCCACAAGGCAAGCGGCTTGTCGGTCGTCGGATGCTTGGATTGCAATCAGGGCTTTAAGGTTAATCGCACCCCTTTAGGTAAAGCCCGGGCTCTCCGATGCTCGTTCGTCATCAAATTCTTAACGAGACGACCGCGGGATCAGCCTCATGTTATGAGAGGCAGGAGTTCACTTTCAACAGGAATTGTTCCTGCAACGACCAGTGTCGTTGGCGGAGCATAAACATGCCATTCTGGAGCAAGTTGGAAGATGCACAACGCCTTGTCACATTCCTGCAGAATCCTTACCTCACCTCCGTTCTTGGCATTTCTTTTCTGTGGGAACTTCCCCTTTCAAACAACTTTTACACAGGCACACAAGGAAACACTGGGTCAGCCGCAGCGACTGGTGGGTAAAATACCGTGATTTTCTGGGTCTTCTTGGATCCCAAGAGTTCCATGATCGGATCGATCGGCAAATCAAGCCTATGCCAAGATGAAGCCAAGATGCCACTCAGATTGGAAATCCTACCTAAAGAGGCAGCTTCTTCATTGCCGCCACGCGTCAGAAGTGGTGAAATCGACTCAGCCAGATGGTCTGGAAGTCTTGGAAGGTGATCTATGATTATGTCTCGGTATTCCGCTGGTAGGGCGGCTGACACCGGCTTGGGGCGTAGGTTCCCGTCAGCCCTGTTCGTCCCAAGTCCACAACGACCGGGTATGATCCCATCGTCAGACCTGGGTCATCGGATAGTGGGCGAGCACCTCTTCTAATATTCTGCTCCCCACGTGCTAGCTTCGTGCCGCGGGCTTGCAGCATTTGAAGCTTAGATAATTTAAGCCAGTGTGGAGAGTCGCCTCCTCTTTTCGGTCCTTCGGGGCAACACTCCGGCGCTGCAGGGTCAGATTAAAGGTGGTTTTGAAATCATGGGCTCCTCTTAGCTCCTTCCAGAGACCGGGGAGATAGACAACGGTGATGCCGACTATCCGGCGTGGGAGCCGCACCATACCCAGTTGCGGAAATCCAACGAGCTTCCAACAAGTAGCATCGAATGAAAGGGGAGGAGGAGGCCTAGAGTCTTGCATGTTCGACAATTTGATATAAGTATCATCTTTTCTGCCCATCTCTTTTGCTTCCGTTCTTGATACCCCATCGTGCTTCTTCACTCACACTCTTTTCAACCACATTCTTTTTTTCCAACTCTAGTCTCTCATTCGACAATTTTTGTACATACTCGAAGTATTCTACGTGTTGATCACATACCAAAAACAATCAAGAAACGATGAAGTTCCTCTCCGTTGTCGCGGGCCTCAGCGCCCTGGCTGCCGCCGCCCCCGCCGAGCTCGATACCCGTGCCTCGTGCACCTTCACCGACGCCAAGACGGCCATGTCCAAGAAAACTTCCTGCACCGACATCGTCCTCAACGGCATCAAGGTCCCCGCCGGTGAGACCCTCGACCTCACTGGCCTCAAGGACGGAACCAAGGTCACCTTCAAAGGCACCACCACCTTCGGCTACAAGGAGTGGGAGGGCCCTCTCATCGCCATCGGCGGTAAGAAGGTCAGCGTTGTCGGTGCTTCCGGCAACTCCATCTCCTGCCAGGGTGAGCGCTGGTGGGACGGCAAGGGAGGTAACGGCGGCAAGAAGAAGCCCAAGTTCTTCAAGGTCAAGATCAACGACGGTTCCATCTCTGGCCTGAACGTCAAGAACACCCCGGCCCACGGATTCTCCATCAGCGGCGTTTCTGGCCTCAAGGTGTAAGTCACAACTCAATGTTGGGTTTTTGGACAGTGATACTGACCCGACTATTCTCTAGCTCCAACATCCTTTTCGACAACAAGGATGGTGACTCCAAGGGTGGCCACAACACCGATGCCTTCGATGTCGGTACGTCTTCTGACGTGACCATCTCCGGCGCCAAGGTCTACAACCAGGACGACTGCCTGGCTATCAACTCTGGCACCGGTATCACTTTCGAGAACGGATACTGCTACGGCTCCCACGGCCTGTCCATCGGTTCCGTTGGTGGACGTAGCGACAACACCGTCCAGAACGTCATCATCCGTGACTCCACCATCGAGAAGGCCGACAACGGTATCCGCATCAAGACCATTGCCAACAAGACTGGCAAGGTCAACGGCATCACCTTCGAGAACATCACCCTCAAGAACATCAACAAGAAGGGCATTGTCATCCAGCAGGATTACGAGAACGGCAGCCCTACCGGCAAGCCCACCGCTGGTATTCCCATCACCGACGTCACCGTCAAGAACGTTAAGGGTACCGTCGCCGCGAAGGGCACCAACGTGTACATCCTTTGCGCCAAGGGTGCCTGCTCCAACTGGAAGTGGTCTGGCGTCTCCGTTACCGGTGGCAAGTCCTCTTCTGAGTGCTCTGGCATCCCTTCCGGCTCCGGTGCCAAGTGCTAAATGCTTGATGGTGGGAAGCTTAGGAGCGGTGCTCCTGAGTTGAAGTTGTTATGACTACACAGATCAGGATCATGGTCGTAAGTGATGGCCTTGCGACTTGGGTGGAGGTAGTGCTACGGAACTCCCATTTGGGACCCCGTTCGGCTGGTCATCGTTCAATTCTTAGATACCCTTCGCGGAATACAGTTCAATTAATTTTCAATCTGTGTAAAATTTCGGTACAATCCGGATAACTTGACTTCGTCAGCCTGATTAGCGTCGTCGTCATCGACCAAATGTAGGCTTCCGTGCAAGCGGTCAACTAAATTCAATACTTTATGTCTTGCTATGTTCCTGCAAAGATGTTCCTAGCCCAATCGTTACTTGCGATGCTTTGTAAGTTTGTGACTCAGAATTAAGTTTCTTCGACAACAAGGTACTCAGATTGCTCATGTTTATACTAAGGTCCGCATCGCTGTGGCTGGAACTTTGATGGCTTCAACCGCGATACTCGAAAAGTTTAATTATGACTCCCTCTTGAAAGCCTCTCCTTGAGAGACGTATAAGCTAAGTCTTCCTCTCACTCGCAAACCCCAGGATCTAAGACTTCTCGCCCGCACCAATTACCCCAGGTTACTCTGCTTTCTCTTGCTACTCTAATTTCTTTGTTACTCTGATTCTTCTTGAGACAACTTCACCATGACGAAGAATAGAAAGGGAAAATCCAAGGCCAAGGCCTCATCTAGGGATTCTTCTTCCCAGAGTGGACCCAGCATTCCCCCGCGGACAACATCTTCTGCCGAGTCAGCCATCAACATCCCAAAGAGAACGGGCTCAGTAAAGGGAACAGATTCCAGCAGCAAGCCTGTGTTCGGCGTCATGGTCGGATCCAATCTCGTTCCCGAAAGAAGCAGCAGCAAGAGAAAAGCTTCTTGGGACGTCGAAACGCTTTCTTCAATGTCCAAAGTTGATCTCCTCAAGGAGCTCAAGAGTAATATCAGCAAGGAAGAAGCACAACGAAAGAGATTGAAACCATCGACATCCCATGACTCTCAGTTCTGGAAAGATTGTGCCAATCACGAAGGCCTCAAAGCATATCGTGTTGGAGTCGAGGCTCACCTAGAATTTCTGGACTCCAAAGCCAAAGGTCGCACGAAGGACTGGGGGGAGTGGATTGATAGCCAAAACGGCCAGACATTTGAAGTCCGACATCTTGCGCATCAGCAACGGATAGGACTCCTAAGCAAGCAAGCTGAGAGTATGCGAGCAGACTCATTGAACACTCGCATAAGAGACAAACTTGTCGAGCTGTTCGTTTCTTCCAAGCTTGGACTCGATGCAACTTCAGCCGGCATAGGAAGCCGGAGAAGCACAGATCAGCAGAAGTTCAAGAAGAAAATGCTCAACGCGTACTGCCCCAAATCGCTGCGACCCTCTAGAGACTCTGTTTGGGAGCCAGTTCTGCATAAATGGGTTGAGACTCCACTTTGCAAGGCGGCGCACCTTTACCCATGGTCCCAATTGCACTCAATGGACTTGATTTTTGGCTCTGAAGGACCTAGGGACATCTTCTCCCCTAAAAACGGGCTCATACTCCATACTAAAATCGAATGGGCCCTGGATCATGGCGTTATAGCCATAGTTCCTGACGTCGATCTAGACCCAAAAAATCCTGATTTCCCGCTTGAAGATCAAGAGGAGAGAGAAGAACGCCTCAGGAACTGGGAGAACGGCAACGTTAAGGATTACAAAGTGATTGTAGTCGACAAAGATCATGAGAGAGCGAAAGAGCTACAGAATCTCGGCGGCGATTTCATCACGCTGAACGACTTGCATGGTCGCAAGTTGGAGTTTTTGAACGGTTTCCGCCCCCGCGCGCGCTATATTTGGTGGCAGTTTTACTCTTCAATCACCAAGGCTTCGTGGAAGATGAAGGCGCTCGGCCAGGAAGATCGAGATCTTATGCAGAAGGAGATTCTCAAAGCAACGCGCTTTTGGGGTAGCCCGGGACCTTACGTTACTGAGGGCATCTTGAGCTCTTTCGCAAAGACCATCGGCCATTCCGTTGAGTCCTTACATGATAGTATGGCTGGCAAAGGAGACACGGAAGCAGATGATGCAGCATTGGCTGCTCTCACTGCTCAGGCGACGGAGGGGGATTATAAGTTGATCAAACTTCTTGAGACGTCCAATCCCGACGGCGAGGATTTTGAGTATAGTGAGGGGGAGGAGGAGGAGGAGGATGAGCTTCATTACAAGGGGGATTCCGATTATGACGGGGACGGGGACGGTGATTTGAATTAGAGGACGAGAACTTTACATCATTCAATGTTCTTGTGTTAGGAAATGTGACATTCGTTCAAATAAAATGGACGCATCTATCAGGTGTGTCGAGTGACACATGCTAACCGCAGAGCCGTGGGCCATCACCAAGGCCTAAACATCACCATCACAAGCATCATTATACGAGATTCATCTCGGAATCGACTTCATTCGTCTAAAGGTAGTACTAATACACGCACCATCGAGCTCCAACGACCCCTAGGCCTCGTACAACTCAATCTGAATGCCGCCATCCACCTTGTGTCTCCAGGGATTGACTGCCGTGATCAGGAACCCCCCATGTGAGACCAAGATCGTCTAGAGTCGACCACCAGACCCCAAAACCCATCCTAACCTCGCGGAAAATGGAAAGAATACAAACGTACTGAAGCTTTTTTGTAAAGTCTAACAAACGAATCGCGGCATTCGTCCATAATAATAGCCACGACCGTCATCTTGATGCAAATCGCGTTGTCCACTCCGACGCCAGGCATATCTCACGCGCGCCCAGCGTGTCCTACCCATAAACCATATTGCTACAATCGAAACCTCCGTTTTCCGCTCATCTGTGCGCAACGAGTGACCTCTCGTTATCTATCGTCGTCTTCTATTCGAATCAGACGGCCTGTCGACGACAACTAGACTTGTCCGTCGGCAAGGGCAAGTCTCTGTTTCAGTGTCTTGGCCTTCTTGCCACCGCCTCTGCGTTGCTTCTTGGTTCCCTTCACTTCGGGCTCGGCTACAGGCGTGGCGGTACCCGAGGTTCCGTTGGCTCCATTGCGGTTGTCATCAAAGTTGCCCTCGCCTGTGAACATGTTAGTATGTCCGTGGGTAGCATGGACAGCAAACAACTTACCCTCGTGGTACATCTCGTCCAGGCTGACGTCCTCATTGACCACCCGCTTGCGCTTCGTCGTCTTCTTCTTCTTCTCGGGCTTGTCGAATTCGCCGGCCTGAAGCATCTCCTTCTCACGCTGCTCAATCATCTCCGCCTGCTCATCGTCGGCAAGCCACATAGCAATATCGCGGTTGCGGTTCTCGGGAGCGCGGCGACCAGAGAAGTCAACACTGGCACCACCTCCCTGGATGACGACGCGCTGCACCTCTTCCTTTTGCATGGCACGCTTCCGGATACGCTCCTCAATCGTTCCCTTAGTGATGAGACGGTACACGGTAACCTGTCGGGTCTGACCCAGTCTGTGAGCTCTGTCCATGGCCTGCGAATCGATCGTAGGGTTCCAGTCGGAGTCGTAGAAGATGACGGTGTCAGCAGAGGTAAGATTGATACCAAGTCCACCAGCACGGGTCGACAGAAGGAAGATGAAGATCTCGGGACGAGTCTGGAAGTCGGCGACAGTATCTCTTCTGTCTTCGAGCTTGGTCGAACCATCGAGACGGCAATACTTGTAATTGCGGTACGTAAGGTACTCCTCCATGAGATCGATCATGCGTGTCATCTGGAAGTAGAGCAGCACACGATGACCCTCGGCCTTGAGCTTGGTCAACAGCTTGTCGAGAGTGGCCAGTTTGCCGCTGTCAGTAACAAAACGGCGCATTGACGGAGTCGCAATGTTGTTGAATTTCTTCTTGTCGTTATCCGGCGCAGGGAGCAACTTGCGGGGCGGGAATCGGTCAAAGGGAAGCTTCTCAGTGACCATGGCCCGTTCTTCCTGGATCGTGGGGCCAAACAAACTCTTGCGCATGGATCTGTTGAACAGGATACTTTCCGTCTCCAGACCGGTTCCACTGCTACAGCAGCTCACCTCAATGGGTGGAGCAGAGGCGCGCGGGCGACCGGCCTGCTCCAAGCGTCCCAAGCCGCTGTCGACATACTCCTCTCGGGCCACGTTCATGAGGTTAGCCATGATGCCCTCTTGAGTGATGTCTGCAAGGGGTTGTCTGTTGTTGCGGGCGGCGATCTTGAACAAGGCATGAGCAGGGGTGAAGTTGGCGTCTTCGGCGTCGTCGTAGGCAATCTTCATGAGGGGCAAGCGATCCTTCTTCTGAGACAATTCGACGGCACGAGAGAAGACGTCCTCGTGGCTAGCCTTATAGACCTCGGTCGGGCTGGTGTCAGCGAAACGCAGGAAGGAAAACGCGTCGGATCCCTCGAGACTGTCGCGGATGTGCTCCGGAGTGAAGATGTTCATCATGTGCTGCAGATTCTTGTTGCGCCACCCAGCCTTCAGGTTGCCGCGGTCGGCCTTGTAGAGCCTGCCATCTTGTCTCCAAAGGAGACGAGGCAGCTCGTACTCAATCAAGTTTCGAGTAGAGTAGCCGACGGCGACGTTGTTGCCCTCTCTGACAAAGGAAGCCGTCTCCGCGAAGTAGCCGAACGAGAAGGGAGAGGTCGTGTCGGCTCTCTCGAACAGGTCGGGATGGTTGCAAACCTTTCGGAATTGCATGACGAGGTTCATGAGAGTTCCAGAGTCGTCATTATCACCCGTCGTAGCCTTCTCAATGAGATCCATGATACTGATCTGGTTCCGCAGGTTGCTGTAAATGGCGCGCTGTCTGTAGGTGAGATCGCAGTAGACATCCTCCTCGATCTTGTCTCCAAGCTCCTTCTGGACATGCTTCTTGACACGACGCAACATGAACGGCTTCAGAATCATGTGCAGACGTTTGAGCTGATCTTCGTTGAGCTTCGTGTTACTTTGTGCGTGTGACTCAATATCCTTGGAGAACCACTCGCTGAA